AAATCATATTAAAAAAATTTGTTAAACTTCGCCAGCTCTTCTGGACTGTTGTCTAAAATATAATTTTATTGTAATATTTAATATTTCTACGCTGTGAATAATTGTTGTCAGAGATCTTAATAGTACTAGAAGTATTTGCAATATTAACAAATTTTTAAAGATCCAAAGGAATTAATTAAATTAATTAATATATAATATACATTTAAAAAAAGATTTCACTGAATATTTAATTTAAACAGTTTAGCAAATTTACTTTAAATATTTGTTGTACTTTATTAAAATTTTAACTAAGAACGAAGAAGACTTCTCTTATTATAGCATATCGCTTTTATAGGTGGTTAAGGAAAGGGCGGGGGTTTGGACATATTTTCGTAATGATTTTTTTTAATAGTCCTTATGTATATATTATATATAGTTTATTATTGTTATAATTATGTATTTTTATAATTTGTTCTCTACTTAAGAGTTAATTTTTGTTCATTATTTTAAAAGCAATATTTAAATGAGTAAAATATATTAAATATAATATAGCTTTAAAAAAAAATTGCATTGCTTAGAAAAGAAGGACTTATAGACTAATATGTGTAAATTTAAAAAATAATAAAAACGATATATTTAATAATCTAATTAAAAAGTAGTATTTGGTAAAAAACACATACAAAATTATATATTATATATATTTTTAAATAAAAATCTTTCTTTTTAATAACTACATATATAAAACAAGTAATCTCAAGTGCGACCTGTAATTGTGTCAAAGTAGTAACAAAGCCAAAAAAAAACGAAAAATAATAATAAATAAAAATAATTAATAATCTATGTATACGCTTTGCTGTAAAGTTAAATAAGCTGCTATAGTAAATATAATATTATGAAGTTTATAGTAAATGTTGAATAACTAAACAACAATTAGCTTTATATTAAAAAGTAGGTAGACATATAAACGAAAAATATTCGTTATTAAATGAGATGTTAATATTGTTAATGGCGACTAGATGCTTAAGAATATACATATTAATTTGTTCGTTTAAATATAAATTTTTTAAGATATATTTTGTATATACGCGTATATATACAATTTTTAGCTTATTTGTTAATTTTGCTTTGTAGAAATTTTAAATCTAAACTTGTTTAAAAACCATTATATTGCTAAACTCCTAATGAATTTGATTTGTTTCAACATATTTTGTAACTTTTTAAAAATGTATAAATTCAAAATTAAAAAAAAATAATTTAAATTTTTTTTTTTTCGTTAAAATTATGCATGAAATTGAAAATAGCTTTTGGTTAGATACACTAACTAATAAACTGTTAATATTAAACCGTTGTACCGTATGCATTGAACACAGCACGTGAACTATCCGTATCTAAAGATATATCTTCGGGACTGGCTAGATCCACTCGCACATTGGAATTAGTGCGCCGACGAGCAGTTTGCGCAGCTCCCCAGTTACTAAGTGTCCAATGGAAGCCAGACGACGGTTGCATTGGCTCATCAGCTACTTTGACTTGAGTGCAGACCTAAAGAAAGAAAAAAAATTAGTTATATATAATACAAAACATAAAAATATAAAAAAAATAAATAAGAATATAGAAAAAAGGTTTTTTTTTTAAATATGTTATATATTCTTTATTGCGTATAATAATTGTATCTATTTATATATATACCTTGTAGGAGAGCTTATAACAAAATAACTTCGGATTACCGTGATGTCCGGATTATCAAAAATATACTATATGTTTCTAGTATAATAGAAAGATGGTATTATCTAACTAGCACATACAATAGATTCCTTATAATATAATTGATATTATAAATGCAGTCACTTCCCCACCCATGTAATCGTCTTGTATATCCTTTTTGTTATCTACTAACAAGTCCCAGCGGGTTACAACAACAACAACAACATAAATGTACTACTTTAATTTGAGTCTCAACTCATATTAGAATTGCTATTAAAATTACTGCAATCTATCATTGGCCTGAGGTCAGAAGCGCTACAGAGACTAATCCACGGAGATTTTTGAACATTAATTCAATGTTCATCTATATTATATACAATCTAAAATGGTCCTAAATATTTTATGGGGGTTTAAACTTCTTGTATATGCGCTAATGCTTGCTTTACTAGCTCAACAAGATGAGTTTGAGTAGTTAAAATGTCAGCTATGCTTTGAAGCAGATTAGAATTTTGGTCACATTCTTTGTGGCTGGGATTTTTTAATCTGAACCAAAAAGAGAACAGCAGTTCGAAAGTTTAAATTCGCATTTAATATTAAAAAACCGTCAATAATAGATATTATCACCGTCATTCAAATAACTAAAAATTTACTATTTGGTAAGACTCGGTCTTTACCAACAACAATGACAGTACTCCGCTCTGATAGGACCCAGTTAAACTGTTTATTTGAATTCACATTTCTATTGTTCTTCTTACCTCCCGATTCACACAGGGTAAAGTTTCAGTACCATTGCCAACTGCAGAACCAGAAGCTGAACCAGCAGAATCTCGTGTACTCCCAATGCTACTGCTTGAAGCTAATGAGTCGTTACTCGACTCTGTTATGGCGCCTCGGTAACGCGCCACAGATTGCACAGCCTTAAATAAAGTAGAAAATTATTAATTAAGTTATATATTGTACATAGAGAAATATGTAATTACTAACCATAAAATCACCGTTTTGACAATCCTCAATTGATTTTAATATCTCCCATACTAATTCCGAATCAAGTGGTATTGGATTCTCACTATCCCGATTATGTATAGCAATGGCGATATGCACTGGGTGCGGTACTGGCAATGGTATTAATAATTTTTCAGTTATACTTTTTTCATCTATTTTTTTCTTCCATGGACGCCATGGTTTTTGTGGTTCTGGTGTTTTTGTGTGCTGAGCACGATGGGCACGTACACGTGGTGTTGTTAGACCAACAGACATATCTCTAAAAAATTTAAAAAAACTAGAAAATAAAAATTAGATATATTATTCTTAATATACCTCTTCTCTGGCTTTCTAAAAGTCAGTGTTATTCTAGAACGTGGATTGAATGCTGTTACTTCTAAAAATGGTAAATGTACTTGCACGTTACCGCGAGGCGCATAAACATTACCCAATAAATCTAACCCTTTTGAACCTATAACTTCTGTAGCATTTTGTACCATCTCTGTGTAACGTGTAAGATCAAGCGAGGGATGTGGTTCTAATTTGAAATGCGTATCGTTTTCAGTCAAAGGCGTTAAAAAATCTAAGCTAAAAACTTCGGTATATATAAGACCAGCCAAACCAGGCCAATCATTTACACTAAGACCCTAAAGAAAGAATTTTTATTGTTTTAACGTCATTTGTTTTCAAAATCAATTCAAATACAAACCTTATTATCCCAAAAATCTTCTTCATTAATAGATAATCTAGCAATCACGTGTGACGGATAACATTTTTCTAATATATGGGCGGCTAGTTGTATTGCAATCTTGAAAGTAATTTTTTAATCATAAGAATAAGAATTTATATGAAAGATGTTGCAAAAATATTGTATTTACTTTTAACTCCTTGGTGTTTAGTTTAATGCGTGTTTTTACTTGTGTCGTCAGAGAAGTCTGCAGTTCGCGCCTACGTTTCTCTAATTTTTCATGTAGTGTACTCATTAAATCATGCGCTTCACGATCCAATGCCATATAGGGTCCAGCTTTAGATAACTGTGCTGAAAATGGACCAAAGCAAGCCTCTACAAATTGACTAAAATCCTTTTGAGGTTGTAGTATAATACGTTCCATGGCATGCTGATAAGCTTGTAACTCATCCAATTCCATTTTTGCCTCAAAGGCAGCTAAGGCTTGTTCTGGTCTAATAATAAAATAATAATCAAGTGCTAACCCTGGACCCGCTATGCGTTTGACAGCAATACTATCCGAAGCTGGTATACGACCACATTTTTTGATAAATAAATGAAAAGTTAGAGAGTCCCAAAGCAATCGTAAGGAATAACGCGCAACTCCAACTACAAGATAATTTTTTAATTTTTAATAAAAATAAATTATTAATTGATTTTGAAATACAAACCAATTAAAATTAGACCTGAAGCTAATGACCAGAATATGGTAGCAACTAATACTGCGGCTATTGGTTGTAGTAGACCTTGTATTATCATGTTCCATATAACAGCCTCTAAGAGTATACAATATCGATTTCGCGAATTATCCGGACAATCTAGGTCATAAACCAAAATCATATATATATGCAATAGAAGAGTAAATATAGGTATCCAAAGCGGTGCCGTCAAAGCCAATGAAATACTCAGTGAACTGGTTGCCAAACATATAAGTGGAAATGCAAAAAGAATAATTATCGTGCCAAGAAAACCCTTTACAAAATAGTTCCAAGCACGATTTAAATTGCGCGTTAAACCTTTGCCAATAAAGCCTGCAATTAAATTTATAATTATTAAATAATTTAATTATAAATTCAGTTTTTTGTTAATTAGGGACTAACCAGTATCCGGTTCCGTTTCGAAATGTGTACGTGACTTCGATATGTGCCGCCATAGTTCTATTAGACGTGAGGCCATTGTCTGCGTTATGCTAGTTTTTCTAGGAAATAATGTGCCGTTAATTTGTGATAATTCCAAATCAGGCATAAATGGCTTTATACAAAAGAGTGCACGTAAACCCAAAGGGCTACACCAGGGCACAAGTATGCCGAGCAAAAACATCATATTCCATGTCCAACACCAAGTTCGCTGCATCAGATTCAACAAACGCCAAAATGGCCAACGTGTGCTTGTGGTGCGTATAATTTCTTTTTCGACTAAAAATACCGGTTGACTGGGATCTGAACGTGGTGTTACAATTGACGTAGCCTGTTGACTGATTACCGTAGGTATTACATCGGATTGCCCTTGAAAATTACGTCGTATTATCCACGAATTAGGTGACCATATACGACATGCCCATTGAAAACTTCGTGTTGGTGCTTTGGCATTTTGTAGTTCCTTTAATAGTACAGGTTCACGTTCTTTCATAAAAGCTAAATCACGACTAAGAAAATAGGCAGTTTGATGTAGGTTGTGTTTTGTGCACATTTTTAGAGATTCTTCGTGTGCCGACCAAGCTGATTTGTTCAATTTACTCTCCTCAGCAGCACGCAATTTTGAGCGCAACCAAGGAGCAACTCGTGAAAGTACAGAATGATCATTAGCTAAGCATTTCTGATGATCTTCACGTGAACGTTTAATATCCTTCTGCACTTTATCGACTGCTTTGTACATAATTACAACAGATTGTGCTTGCTGTACTAAAAGTTCGGGAATTCCAGTGCCAAGATCTTCTAGTTTCGGATGTGATAATATTGATGAATATACCCGTTGTAGATATTCTTTCATAACAGCTTCATTAACTTCCTGTAAATAAAAAAAAGGTTAACGTAATACTATAAATAAAAAAATATATTAGTTTGAAATTAATAATGAAAAAAATTAGTTTGAAAATATTTTAAATTATATCCATAAGACCTTACAAATACAGACATATTATTAAACTGTATTTAGATGCAAACGTTGTCATGTGGGTGTATATAGATAAAGAGATTATATATCAAATGTATATAGAGGCAAATGAAAGGACACAATATCATAAAGAGAATTTTTGCAGTTTAAAGTTTAGTGATCAAATAGTATATGCAATTGCTATAGAAATAATCTAACATTAGTTGTGTCAGTACATACATTGTGACCGAAAAGTTTTCGGAAATTCTCATTTAAAATTCGCGCGCTGTATATTTTTCGATATTTTAAGTTTATGTAGTTTGGCAGCACTGTCCTTAATTACTATGCCAAAAATGAGCGCGATCTGTCAGACAGTTCGTTTACGGCAGCTGTTGAAACCAGTTCACCTCAGTAGTGCGTTGCGAAAAAAACAATGGAAAAAAATATTGAACAAAGAGTTTGCATCAAATTTTGTGTTTCGAACGAAATTTCGTGTGCAGAATCTTTGCGAATGCTACAAAAGGCTTATGGGGAATCAGTTTTATCGAAAACTCAAGTTTATGAGTGGTACAAAGCCTTTCAGGACTGTCGTACGACCGTCGAAGACATGCCGCGTTCTGGACGACCTTCGACCTCTACCCCCGACGAAAACATTGAAAAGGCAAAGGAAATCGTGTTCCAAAATCCTCATGTGAGTGTTAGAGAGATAGCACGAGAGCTAGGCATCGGTCGTGAGATGGCTCGTTTGATTTTGGTGGACAATTTGTGTATGCGACGTGTCAACGCTCGGCTTGTTCCGATTCACCTCAATTTGTTCAACATTATCAACGATTTTAAGGCCAAACATTCAATAAATACCATCGAACAGCCACCGTATTCACCTGATCTTGCACCGTGTGACTTTTTCCTGTTTCCCAACCTCAAATTACCACTCAGAGGAACGCGTTTTGAATCCATAGAAGACGTAAAACAGAATTCGCAGAGGGAACTCAAAGCCATACCGGAAAGCGGATGTACTACCCGGTTCACTTCATAAAAGTTTCTTCGAATTTATTAGCTTAATATTAAATTTAATTTAATATTAAATTTTTAAATATTCTAATCTTATTGTCCACCATTTTTTTGTGTTCAGCAATTGTCTATTAGTGTTAATAGTAAAAGGGACAATGCTATACTGATACCTATAAAATCTTTTGTGAAATCCTTGAAAACAGTTACTGAAACTAACTGGAGAATTAACAAGCCTTATAAGCCTTTCTATATAGAAATATTGGATTTGTTTCTTGGCAATCTCTGATCAGAGGCCGATAAAAGTTTTGAAAAGTTTTGCCCTGAATTTTATAACATCTGCGGATATCGGTGTCCTTTTGAGTCATTTTTAAAAGAGGGTAATTAATAGGAGACTGAGAAATCCGTCAACATGACTGTGATGTTAGAAATGGTTTAAGTACTCCAAATTAGTCCTGGTCCATTAATAAACTTATATATTCAATTTGTTTTATCTTAGCATGTGATTAATAGTCATTAAAAAAATCAAGTGACCTTATAGAATTGTACAAGCAATAGGGCACTAAAACCTATACCAAGCACTTGTCTGCCTCAATCCTATTGCTGTACTGTTTAATTTTCTTTCTTCTTCTCTTCTGCTTAGGGTGTAGCATTAAAATGTATATTTTTTTTCATAAAACTAATTAAGTTATATTTGAAATTATATTTTAAATTTTTTAAACTTTTATAAAAATTATATGTAACAAATTATTTTGGAAAAACATATAAGAAACTACATACATGAATTATAACTATTATAGTTACTATTATTATTTATTTTCTTTATTTAATTATGGTACTGACCTCTTCAATTTCAGTATCGCTTAATTTTTTAGCTCTTAACTCAGCAATTAAGCGTTCTCGAAAATGTAAAAACCAACCCCTTGTTTCGCGTTCCAATATACCTATAAGTATAGGTAATGCTTTACGCATTATATCTCGACAAAATAGACGTAAATCGATTTCCTGTCCTTTCGGAGTCAAAAAGAGATATGGCACTGGTTGCGTTACTTCACAACTATTAAAATCAAATTTCTCCATTGTGGCACGTCGCAGCATTTTACGCACAAAAGAACATAGACCATCTAAACAATCCTCAAACTCGGGCTGAAAGATATATATATCGGACAAATATAAATATAAATAAAATACAATAATACTATCATAATAAAAAAAAAAATACTTACGCGACATACTAATTCTGCTATAAGAAAACGACAACGTTCCTCTTTAATTTTATAGTCTAGATTATGGGCCAGTAGAGCAGGCACACCTAAAAAAAATAATATTTGTACTTTAAATCAGTTAAAACCATTTTCTTCGTATAAAACGCACCAATTATCATATCGAACAATTTAACTATGCCATCCAGTAGAGCATTGATCGCATGCACTACCGAAAAGAAATGAGAAAATATTCGGGCCCGAGCTGTTACCACCACAAACCTTGCGGCTAAAGCTAAATCACTGAGAAATGAATCGTTTGCACGTAGTGTCCCCTTTTGAAGTAGTTGTGAAAGTCGCCACTTGTGTACTTGTCCCGGAAAATGAAGACTCGGCACATCGAATTCACTGTGAAAAATACAAAACAAATTTATACAAGCTTCTAAATAGACCTTCTGCATACGAGTATATAAAGATACTAACTAAAACAAGACATTTTACATGCTAAACAACTAAACTACTTATTTTTCTAGTGCTATTAATCGGAAAATGTTTATTTTACTTTTAAAATACAAGTGAAGATTTTCGTGAAAATGTGTAATAATTTCTATGATTTTAACATAATTTTATTACATATACATTAAGATTAAAAAGTTCTAGAATATTCAAAATTAATATTCAAATAAATGGGAGCGCCATCTGCCGATATTATTTGCAAATCAATTAAAGGTTTTTTTTGTATTGAATTTTAATAAGAATTTATATAAATTAGTGCCTGAGACTTAGAATATTACGATGTTTCAACAGCTCAAATATACTCAGATTCGAATTTTGAAAATATTCGAAATGGTTCGCGCTGCTCGGAGGTGTTCGAATTACTCAAACAAATTATCTGCATTATGTGTCATTTTCTATTTGTTTTACTTTAAACAAACACTAATAGCAGCCAATGTCTGAGGTATTTATATTGTCGAACACTTTCGAGCAGCACAAGCATACTCGATCATCAAAATGTTCGAAGTTTCGAACATGTGAATAATATTAAAATTTCCAATATTGACATGTTAATCCAAATTGAATGGTAATATGCAGAATTTAGGAATTTAAGTTAATAAGAACAGTACACTTAACTGTACAATTAAAAAATACTACCATTTAAGTTAGTAAAGATTATAATGTCCAATTTAGAGAAAATGTTCTGGAACTTTTTAAGAAGAGAGTGCTTGTATTGGTGCTTATTATGGTGTTTTTAGGGTATATTAAACATCTGTAAAACTTACTGAATTAAATAAAATAATTTTTTTTCTCGATTTGTATTTTTTGTTTATTTTTGAATTACATTATTTAACAATATAAAATTGGGTAAAAGCCTTTATGTTTATATTTATATATATGTATATATAGTCTTTCCGACTTTTATAAAATAACTCTATTATGGTTTTATGTACTTACAAGTAATTAAGATAATGTATATGACATGCTGTAAACATATATTTAAACTACGAAGTAAATTAAATAAATATATAAATATAAAAATTTTTATCCAATAAGTTTTGAGAAATATGAAACATCTAAATTAAAGACTCTTTTCAAATATAAAATAACAGAATTTTTAATTAATAATGTACATATGCATTTTTAAATTTCATTGAGTTTCTTATAAAAAAAATAAAAATTATGAATGATAGATTGGGTTAGATTATAACGACAAGAATCCAATTAGGACTATTGGCTTATTGTGTTAAACTTTTAGATATATTATTTATAAAATTGTAATTAATTAATAAAATTTAATAGCATATAAACTAAAGCGAACAGACAAGACAGTAACAATTTTAGAGTGTTTTTTTCTTATGGACTTCGAAATTATTCTTCTTGTTATATAGAGAAATAACTCACCCATAATCAATTACTCAATATCTTATAATATTAAATATTAGACATCGCAGAAAGCATTTTTATATGGTAATTATCATAATTAAAATGGAGTGTGAAAAATAGGCTCTATAAATGAGCGTTTAAATAAGAAAGTCGTGGGCAATATAGACGACCGCTATTACTGCATTAAGAACTGTATATAGTAATGAAGTCAAATAAGAGTTTTCTTGTGAAGAAATTTGGAGAACACACCAAAATGTAATCCCGTTAAGATCCGTTACAATATAGGAAATCTTAAATTTGTAGATGCATATTCAATCTCAAACTATAACTTGCTATAACTCCCTATAACTTAGAGAGTTTATGTCCAGATGACATCATGTCTTCCCAGGTAATGTTCATATGATAAAGAGTCCAAAACTAGAGTTAAATTTAATCTACTATATACAAAATTTATGTTTTGTCTACATTTTAAAACTATAAAATCTGATATGTGTATCACAAAACACTTCAAAATACCCGGAAATTTTCGCCGTTGTCAATGAGATTACTAATGGTTATTTAATAAAACATAGATTAAAAATAAATATAAAATTACATTCAGTATTATTGTTCAATTTAGTTAAGTTACAGACTATTTTAAAATTATTCTTTAAATATCATTTCTGCAGTTTTTCTTATATATTCAATTTTCAATAGGCTAGAGTAATTTGCGATCGAACTAATTCATTGAACTAGTTAAGTAAAAATTCATGAATCACTATATATATGCTTTTTATGCATATAATTCAATACTTAAAAAGAAGTTATATATAGTTATATATAAGAAGTTAATAATAGACGTATAATAGACATATCGACACAAAGAATCCCGAAGGTACAGAAATAAAAAAGGCAATATAAGCATTAAAACTAGGATATTCAGCTGTAACTAAACTGAAAAATTTCCAACACCTGTGTAAAGAAGACTATCTTATGTTATTGAATGACTGTGAAACATTGCATATAACAAACAAGCAATCATTTTTAAACTAACGCTAGAGTCTCGGAGATTACTAAGCAAATTGATATACTAAATAATACTAAAAAGAAAATATATGAATGCCTCGGTCATACCCTTAGAAAAGATACGCGTAGCATAGCTCCTTTAGCCTTAAAATGGCAAAATGGCACATTTCAAAGAGAAGAGGAGGTCCAAAGACAACATGGAACAGTATTCACCGAAACATACAAATCGTTTAATGAGGTTATATACATGGCACGGAATAGAGACAACTGGAATCAATTTTTAATTGTATGTACTTTTGAAACATGTCATAATAATTATATATAATAAATAAAAACTAATAAATAGTTCAAACGAAATCAAATATACAATATGTACAAGTGACTAATAGAAATTACGTTTTCTTTTGTTTGGGACATGATCATGAAACTGGCGCTTAAATTCAAGTAGATTTCTTCGTAGTAAGGAAGCATTATAATAAGTGCGAAACTTAATGCGCACTGACTGAATGCATGAATGAAATTAAGGTGCCTATTTTTTAATTTATATGAATTTAATTTATTAGTGCAATTCATATGCAGTATATTTTCAATATATAGCTTAATTCTTAAATTGTTGCTTTTTTACTATTTAATTGCTTTATGAAATTAGAATTCTTAATAAATATAGTGTTTTTATTACATATATATATATGTCATATATGTTTATCATTCAAATTGAAAGTCATGTATAACTTCATTACTTCAAATAGTTACTTTTTATGACTTAATTTTTTTAGAAAATGAAAAAATATCGTTTTTATTACATATTTATATCTTATATGCATATTATTTAAATTAGAAGTCTGGTAAAATAGTGAAAAACTAACGATAGTAATGAGCTGGTCCTCGTTAATGAGTGACACTAGCGACATAGACCACGAGATATACTGATAATAAGTTTTGTACGAGTATATTAAAAGAATCTTTAAACAACTTAACTAAAATATCAAAAACTATAACAAAAACATTACAAAACAACATAGAAAACACTTAAGATCTTTCATACATAATAATAATTTTTTACAACATAACAATTTCAAGTAAACACTGAAATCTAAAATATTTTGTTTTATTTTGTTTGTATTAAAAGGGGAAGGAAACACATTTCTTAAATGTTTAGACGATTTTTTGTTTAATAATTCGTATTTACCCATTTTTACGTATTGTTTCCAATTGTTCCAAAGTTAATTTCTTCGGTTTTCCATATTTATCCTTTTGCAAGCTTTACAGAAATATTTCAATATTGCACAAGATATTGGAGATCTTATTGTTTTTATAAATATTGAGTATAGAGAAGTGTTCAATTTTAAATACAAAATTAACGAAATAACGAAAAATATTATAATGTGAATAATTATATTAATAATAATAATGATAATAATAAAAGTAATAGTAGAGTAGCGTTAAGAAGTAAACTAAAAGTTATTCAATAATTCCAAACTATTATTTAAGTTTTTAGCAAATGACTGGTGTTAAGTGTTTCTTCCAAATTCAAATGCAAGTACCAAAGATGCCGTGTTTACACTAATATTAATTTTTAATTATTATTTGTAATTAATCAACCTAATTTTTGCGTACTTTGCTGTTCATTTGAATGAAAGCAAAAACCTTAAAGCGTAAATTAAACTTAATGAAATTCTTAAGCAGCAGTTTGAGCATAAATAAAAAAATATAAAAATAATAGAAAATTTTTTATTAAAAACGGAAATTTTTTAATCGATAAACTTACCCATTCTCACGCAACGATTTTAGCTGTGAGTTGGTTAAACGACGTGGTTCGCCATTACCATCGGATGCAACAGCATCGAGCTCATCAAAGGGTGGCGCTATAAATAGGTCGCGCAAATTTATGGGACGCGTCTTGCGGCTGCTAACGCTATTCGTTGCATTGCTAGCAGTTAAGGCGAGCGTTGTGGCTGACAATGGCTGTGGAAGCACTATAAAAAATAATAAAAAAAATTATATTAAAAACTTAATTGAGAATACCGTATGTTGGGTATGGACTTACCAATTGGAAAAGTTTTCCAATGATAGAGAAATTGTTCTGCTACAGTTTTGATCTGTTCCACAAGCTGCTCGACTTCTGGTGGTGCGCCGACTAAATTGACGGTAAAATGTACAGGTTCGCGTTCCGGTCCGATTAATGATTGTGGACGCAAATGAGTACCAGACGCACTTGTCGACAGTGGAAGCATAGTAGACATCTTTAGAAACTTCTATATATGCTGTTCGTTGCCAAGTTGAATATGACAACGAACGAAGCGTAGTCAACAGGAACGCACTGTTGACTGTCGGTTAACAATCAATTTTTTTCGTGAGCGAAAATTTTATCCAAGTTTTTGTTGCTGCTCGTTCACATTTTTAGGCCTCTTGTAATTACGAAATATCGACTAATGAGATTGTGATGAGATTCGTATAATGATAGCCTTGGGTAATGAAACCGGTTGATTCGTTGTGCTTTAATTTTTCTATAAATTCAGAGAAGAGCAGGAAATATAATTACTGCGTCAAATTTTCAGTTTTTTATATTTTGTAATGATTTTTAAAAAATAATTGTTTATAGAATTTTTTGTAAATATTTCAAAGTTGCTAAATGTAAACAAAATTGTAGGAGATGAGATCAAAATTTAAACTAAAACTAATAATAGCGAACAGGCAAATTTACTTCTTACTTGAGTACATAAAGTTTCAAATTTTTCAATTAAATTTTTAATGTATTGTTTTTCTTATTTTTTGTATACATACTCGTACAATCGCACAATAAATAACCTAAATCCTTCATGAGTTTGAAATGAAAATATTATAAATAGCGCAATTCTGCAAACTGAAAGCACATTTCAAATTAACATAATATATGCATGAATTTCAGATCATTAAAAATTAAAATCTTCGGAGAGTTGAAGGGACGAGATCAGAACAAAGATTTTATAAAACTCTTGAGAGTGTGGTTAGTATGGTTATAAGTCCAAAATAGAGAACAGAGTATCTGTTAATAAAGATCTGTTAAGTAGATAGCTAATACGAGAAGACGAAAATTGTTTATCCAGGTTTGAAATTGTTTTATAAATTAGTGATAAGTACACTAAATAAGTTTTAAAAATATATTGTAATTAAATTTATATAAAATCGAAAAAAAAATATGTCTATAGTAATTAATATTAAATATAAAGAATATATTCATTTCAATAAAATTTATTTTTCGGCTGCTTATACAGCTACTCCAAGTACTGCCAAACATAGCATACTACTACTCCAAGTGATCTTAGAAACTTATTCTTGTTTTCTTTGGAAAAAAAAACGACAATTTTTTTATATTATAAAAAACATCCAGCACCATACAAAATGATTAGAAACTAATTTGCCAAAGTTTTGTTGTAATCGTATAAGTTCCAAAGATATTAAACTGCCGGGACGACGTCCAAATAAAATAATAATTCAAGATATGATGGCTAAAATCAATGATCTAATGATGGAAGATCGGCGAATAAGAGTCCACGAGATTTCTGATGTTATAAAATTCTCAAGTAAATGTGTTTATTATACTTTACAACAATAATTTCATATAAAAAGCTGTAAGCGGAATGGCGCCGTGATTACTAATATCATAGTGAATTACTAATCCAGCCGTGCAGATGGAACCCCCAGGAAAATGACCGTCGTGTTAGGGCGCCTGCTAGAACATAGCGTAATTTTGAAAGCTTAACTATTCTTCATAAAAATAAGACTACCAATTAAAATATACAACTGTCAAATTAAAGAATGTTCATTAGGGTGCCATTAATTTTCGAAAGTCGAATTGCTCGCGGCACTTCCCAGATCGGTTCATTTTACTAAAAAAATAATCTGTGTGAAATTTTAGTTCAATTGGATAAGTGAAACTGGTACCCCAAGAGCCTCAAAGATTGGAAAATAACGATTTTTTCCATAAAATTCATCTTTGATTGCTTATATCTCCGACATATTTAATTTTAAATAAAAACTGTCTTCCTAAAAGTTATAGGTCTAGTAAAAATAAACAATTCACTCATACAAAGTTTTTCTGTATTTCTAATAGTTATTGAATAATGAGTTCAATGAATGAATTGTCTACTAAATTTGGTAGAAAATAAGTCCAATACTTGTATAGTTATAAGTGAGTTTCTGTATTATTCATTGGAATGCGAAGTGAATTTTATAATATTTTATCGTATTGATTAATTCAAAGTGATTACATTAAAAAGTGTTACCGAGATGTCTTCTTTAAATATTCGTTTCCTTTATAAGATTCGTAAGGATAACCAACCAAGAGATGATTATAGGGAACTTCTTGAACTTGCATTAATGTTTTTAGGAGAAAAGCCGAACTGTACAATAAAGTTTCGACCTCCTGGAGCTATATATCATGCAAGATGGATGGCGAAAGCCATGCATGTATTAAAAATATTTTTATTAGGGAAAGAGTTCAAATTATCTACAGAAGAAGAAAATGCTCTTTGCGGTATATGTATGTAGGAATGTTTATTTAATAGTATTTATTTAATTCAAAATATCAAAGTGTATATACGTTAATTAATTAATAAGTAATAATAAGTAACTTCTTAAACGCGCACAACCGACTGACAACTTCAACGACTTATTACCCACTACTGCTTGTTTTTTAAAGCTTCTTCTTGTTCCTTTTTGCCGGCGTTGTCAGATCTTACCCTTCCTGCCTACATGTATTTTTATTACTAAAGTGTATGTTGAAGTATGGTTTAATGCTTTGTCATCAGTTAAAGCTCATTTTCAAGATTTTAATCTTCCTTCTATTCTCAGTCAATATCAAAAAATTATATTTGGTATTAAGGCTCAAAGCTTGTTCATTTTCCTTTTTTGGATTTAAATATATCACCTGAGACAAAAAAAGTATGGTTTCAAATTTGAATATAGATAGTGATGACAAGGAAGTCAGGAGAGTATCAACAGATCGCGCAAAAATAACTGAAATCGTCGAAAAGGGAATTGAACAGTTTGTATACAAAAATACTAAAAACATTTTTAATCGTTTCAAGTTGTGCGATGGCTTCTTGAAAATATGCCCCACAAAATGGCTTGAAAGCCATTTTGAAAGCTTTTAAGCTTGAAAGTAGTAAACGATACGACATAGCGAGGAGTGAAACTAATGCTGGACTATAATTCAATTTTAACAAAAAAGGAGAATTGAAAACAGTACATACTAAAATTGTTAACGATTACCGCCGTCGTTTTCCAAGTTGTAATAAGGATACTTTGCTCCAGCAACTTTAACTAAAATAATCAAAATTATGTCGGATAAACCTAGAATTAGTACTTTTTATTATTAGAAAGATTAAATTTTAGATATATTGAATTTATTTTAAATTTTTTAGAAATAATAAATTTAATAAATTTTTTGTAAAGCTGAAGCGGACAATTACATTCATAGTACTTTCAAAGCTAGCAATCGGGTGACTTCAACTTATTTTTTGTATTATTCAATAACTATTAGAAATACAGAAAAACTTTGTATGAGTGAATTGTTTATTTTAAATAGATCTATAACTTTTAGGAAGACAGTTTTTATGTAAAATTAAATATGTCGGAGATATAAGTAATCAAAGATGAATTTTATGGAAAAAATCGTTATTTTCCAATCTTTGAGGCTCTTGGGGCACCATTTCCACTTATCCAATTGAACTAAAATTTTACACAGATTATTTTTTTAGTAAAATGAACCGATCTGGGGGGTGCCTTAATGGCACCCTAATGTTCATACATAAAATATCAACGAATATAACATATAAACGTTATTTTTTTAGAAATATCACCTAAACATATAGATTGGAGTTTAAAGGTTATAATAAAACTGAAGCTGTTTTTGATTGATAACAGAAGACCAACAAAGAAAAAACGTGGCCGCTGAAATATATTTATATGCCAATAAAATAAATGTTTAAAAATTATTAATGCAAGTGTAGTGTTATAGATTCTTAGCCAAAAGACGAGAACCTTTTACGGATCTTGAGAAAAGATAATTTATGCTGTGATGATTTCTTTTTTCCATTTAAAGAATTTAGTCCAACTCTATCGAATGTGCTTATAATTGATTATACGTAATAAAATTGGATAAATATCTGTGTTGAATATTTATAAAAAAACAACCACAGTATAAATGTTAAATACATTTTATGTTAGAAAAGATTTTTCGGAAAACTTAACGTTTGATCTATGAATATTCAAAACAATTAAGAAATTAAAATTTTAATTAAAAACAATTTATGAAACAATGAAAATAAAGAAAAACTTTGGAATTTAAATTACGTCGAAGTGTAGCAAAAAATTATAATTGATGTACACTTCAAATTAACAGAATAAAAGTATTAAATATATGAGTTCATGTATGGACGTACTTGTATTTTAATAAATGTTTACGATGCAAACGCACGGCTACTGATTTAAATTTTATTAATATTTTTATGGATGATGTATTAAAAATAAAAAATTGGATTACGAAAATGAAACTGGGGACTGCATTTGTGTACGTGATTCTTGTTTGAATTCTACAATTAATGAATTATTAAAAATATGTGTAATTAAATATTATTAAAGTAAATTAATTTATATTTATTTATATAAAACTATTTAATAGTTTAGAAAGTAGATGTTTTCATTTTGACACAGAATGATAGTTAATTTAAAGCTAAAGATAGTTGAGAAGATAATTAATGTGTTTGAACTTATATAAGTAACTTGTCAATTTATATTATATATAATACATATAGTATAATTTTTTTATATATTATATAATCACCAAGTGTTGGAAAACGAAATCGATTGATTTGACTGTTCGTAACACATATAGTATGTATGCCAGTCAACAGTGATAGAAAAGGAAAATATGTTGCAGCCGATCGATTAGGAATCTATCAATTTAATAGATTGATGTTCCTTTAAATGTTCTGTAAACTTATAATGAAAAATAAAGTTCTTAATAAAATATGTTGAATCGAGGAACATATTTACACGTGAGGATCATTTGGCATATGTAATGAGACATAAATATTACAATGAGAAGAAAAAATCTTAATACTTTGTTATAGGTTGACATTTTTATAGCATGCCTATAGAATATATATTATACACAGTAACTACTGTTGCAGCTACGGATATGAGAAACCATCAGACACCTTTTTTGTTTTTATGCCCAGCGTACTATAAAAAAATAAATAACAACATTAAGTTATAATCTTCAACAAGTTCACCAACGAATTGCCTCAGCGTGGGTTAATAATTTGATTAGGTGAGTACTGTCTTCATGTCCCTTCACAACGGATCAACTTAACCTAAGTTTGTCGGCATTCCTAATAAAATTTTTTCATAGTTTTTAACACTTGCAGCGGCTAAAAGCTTTAATAGATCTTTCAATGTATTTTGATTCTAGTTTCCAACCTTTTTGGGTTTAATCAGAATCATTTAAAAATATGGGATTCGTTTCATATTAGTAGAGAATATAAGCAACATTAATAAATTATTGATGCAAATAGATAACAACAATCAATGCAATCTTTTTCGGATATCAAAATTAATTTCATATATAACATAATGTGGGTTATGTGACCAAGCAAGATTCTTATTTGGGAATAAGATAGAAAACAAGATATATAATTGATGTGACCAATATAATTGTTTATTTTGTAAAGGATTGAAATTGAAATTAAATATTAAAATATATTCGAATATAAACAATTGAATAATTATTTTGTTTTTACTACTTGGACTTATTAAAGTAGTTGAAAATTTAGATATATCTGTAATAAAACAAAATTACTCAGAATACACATGAAAATCATGAAATATTGAAACTAAGGGGAAATAAATAATTTTCCAGCTGAAAACACAAATGCTGGAATGTGTAGATGTTATATACATACATATATGCAGATAGCTCAAAGTAATATTGTGTAGAGACATGTTCTGAATATAGTAAGAACATGTGTAATATATAAACAAAATGAAATAATAATATATAAACATTTTTGTATATAATTAAATGATTTTTCAAATTTTAGTATTTTACTTTAAAATCTTTATGGTCTTATAAATAAACAAAATAAAAAAAATTAATTTAAATTTATTTGCTATGGATATTATATTCAAATAAAAAGTATTTAATATATATACATATGTATAAATAAATTTATTATTAAAAAATGAGAAAACATGTTTTTTTACTATTTATGCATATTTTTTCATTAAGTTAATAACAGCCGCTAACCGTCTACAATTAAATTTAGTCACTGGTAGTTTTGTGCAAAAGTATTCGTTGGCTTATGTATCACACAATTTAAGCGGTTTTAGTGAAACAAATAAACACCCTACAAAATCAAGGCAATGGTAAATAATTATTAATAAAATAATTTATCGACCGAAAACAAGATATCGGAAAATATATTAAAATGTTTTTCATTAAATACACATTATAAATCGCCTAGAAAATGTGATCTAAATAATAACATATTAAAGAGATATGAATATATGAAATATATATATAATAAACAATATTTACTTGAAACTTAAAAAATACTTCCGCATATTGTATATTTTTGTTACGTTTGGATATTGTAATGAAAATTTAAGCAGAGATACAGAAAAGGAAACAATACCTATATCACAAGAACAAAGAAAGAGATTTGAAATTAAGTAGGCTTATAACCAAGAATTTACTTTGAGACTTGATCATTTTCTACTTTTTTACGATAAAAGTTTGATTACTTCATCTGAATTAGTTACAATATCACTTCAAATCAAAATGATGCCTATAATGAATAATTACATGTTTTGGTAGAGCTTTTGCATGAGAAAGAACTGCCACAGCAGCAGTTGTATCAATAAAATTGGCAAAAAGAAGAAAAGATATTCGGAAATTAAGTTCTATCGCTACACTTTAACAACTTTAAAATGTAGGCAGAAGCATCAATTTTTGATGTAATTGAGATATATAATATTTATCAATTTAATTCTGATGGGCTTTCAGCCTTTTCAGCTCCTTTCCTTGCTAATTTTATTTAACGTTTTATTATTGTGATTTTGGAAGACAGTCACATTTCTAAGGTACAGATCATTATAGCAGTGCTTTCTTAAACGAACAATCAATACTATAAAAACTAAAACTATTGATTTAGATTTGATTTAAAAAGTGTTGAAAAGTTGTCGCCATTTCACTGCATCCTTTGAGGATTATTGTCTAATGTTAAGTCTTTTCCGAGTTAGTGCATCTGGGCACTTTTACTCCTTGATAGCTGGGGAATATCAGCAGCAGAGTAATTTAAGTATTCCTCGTAAGCATCGTGATCATTCAATGACTGATCTAAGATCTGCGTACCGCCCCGTCCGTTAGTGATTACTCTGAGATTAGATAGTGCTAAGTAGGGCAGCCTTTTGGTTTTCGCATATAGCTTCAGGGCTCTATCCCATATATATTTTTTGACCGGATTTATTCTAAGGTTTCTTAGCATGTCATTCGTGTGGATGTGCCATGGCACTTTGAAGAGTCTTCGGAGAGCCTGACTTTGACCAACTTGCAGCTTCTGAATAGAAGAGTTGGCAAAGATTATTGTGACATACCCACTTTAGTTCAACAGACAAGTAGCAGTTAAGAACGTTATTACGTTCTTTGAAGAGATGTTGCCTAAGGTTCGGTAGATGATTTTTGACTCCGCAATGGCTAGTTTGAAACCTTGTGACAAGTCTTCTGTTCAACTTTAGCAGGCAATTGTATTATTAAAATCAGTCTGAGTTGCTCTTTCCAGTCACTTATTAATTTTAAGTTTGAATCAGTTATAAAGAGAAACACATATTTTTAAGATTGATATAAAATCATAAAATGAAAATTAAAAATTGAGAGAATAAGAACTAGAAGATATAAAGATGAGTTTAGAAAAATAAAAATTAGTTAAAATAATAAGACAGAAGTAACTGGGGGAACAGAGAAAAGTAAAACGATTTTTATACTTGGTTGAATGTAAGTAAATAAAGCATTGGAAGAATAAGAAACTAAAGTAGAAGGAGGTTTAACAGGAGGTTTAAGATTGTATATATTTGAAATAATAAAAATAATTTACGTAGCGGGAAATAATTTCATCTAATCTAATTGTTTTTAGCAGTTGATTAGATTTTAAACTAATTGTAAATATACTCTGTGTTCGTGTTCGTTATACAGGTGAAACACTAAAAAATATTTTTAGTGCACCGCCTTTACAGTGTATGATATGCAGATTATATTGTCAAGTGGCGAGATCTATTTCGTAATCACCGATTTTCAATATTTACAGAGATACTCTGCTTAGTGGTTTCAAAGGAAATTTTATCGAAAAAAATAAGCACTCAAAAAATCTTTAATATCTTGAAAACGGTTCACTTGAACAATTTATATGAAGTTTTATATACTATTGTGTCCCCTTCTGGGTTTAGAATAGGTCTCTAAGTCCTGTTGCGGCAATAAAAACTAGTATAGGACCTACTTTACAGAATTTTATTGACTCTTCCGTAAAAATATACATTCCCAGGAGCCTATTCCGTATGTGCATTAGCGCAGGGTATTCTAACAGCATATGTGTGGTCGACTCCTCGTTCTCTTCACAGAATCTACAGTTTACATCCGTAATAAACACTAATAATAACCACTTATACTGAAAAACAACAAACATCTGACAACACTATCTGTTAGCTTAATTAATACTCTGCTGCTGGAAGTAGAGTGTAGAAATTCTACAAGCTATTTTTTAATGCGAAGATATCAAGTTAAAGGATGACGTTTTCACTAAATCGTTACTGAAGCAACTTAAATTAGCTAAAGTTTTATTATGGTATAATATACATATAGACATATTTATAAGCATATAAGTATACCAAAAATATATGATTTATTATATATATTTATACGGATGTCTGGTTTAATTTTTATGCAGGGTATTACGAAGTAAAAATTCATGACATTTTTAAATTATATTGAATTCTGTTGTGATTTAAATTTATTTTTTTCATTTTTGTGTATAATTTAATTTTGTTATAGTTTCCATTAATTTATATATGTATATTGAACTTAAAGTGTAACTTTTAACATATATAAACCGCTTAAATCATTTGAAGCAATATATTCATCACACATTGTCTTTCATATTACACAAACTGTAGGAAAATAATTATTATTGTTATTAAATGAGTTTTGTTTTTGTTATTTTTGTTATGTACAAATAAACATTCCATTTTTACAATTCCTTAGTGATTTCTTTTCTTTTTTTTTTAAGAATTCACTATTGTATTATATTATTATTATATTTTCTCAACAGCGCGTGGAGTTGTACATATTTAATTTTCTTTTTATTTTGTGCGCTACGTTTGTTTGCTGCTTAATATGTTTTAATTTCTTTGACTGATTTTTCCACTTTTCATTTTATACACTTATACTCCACTCCACACTCCACTTGTTTTTCTATCATAACACTTCATTTTTTTCTATCTTGTATCGTATGTTATAGATTTTTTCCATTTTCACACAATTTTGTGTAAACTAGCAATATTAATATAAAAATATATATCAAATAGTAATTTTTTTATTTCCATAGTTATTTTATTCAATTTTCTTATATTAATATATAAATACGTACACAAAAGAATTATATTAATTATTGTAAAATATTTTGTATTAAATTTTCCGCAACAACAACAACCACGTCCTCCTAATATAAAAAATATTACACTACTGAACTATTTCTCTCTATTCTCAGTCAGGGTTGTATTATTTCCAATAAAAATGTTATTAGTATTTTTGTTCATTTGTTTTTGAAGAATTTTTCGTATAGGGTGCATATCACTAAAGCTATTTACAGAGAAGATCGGTTAAATTCAAACGACTGTAATTAATAATTTATTTTAAAATAAATTTTTGTTAATATAGAGTGAAGAAAAAAACTACAAGTCTCTTATTAAAGGCTCTTGCTAAAGTAGAATAGACCTATATTTCCGCACTTTTCCACACAAACAAACCAATTCTTTTTGCTTGAAAATTTATTTATAAACAACTGTTACACTAACATTTTTCCAAGTAATTTAAAAATGTTCACCCGTTCCTCCATTTCTGTTTTGAATTTATAAAATAAAATTAATTTTAGACTAGTAATTATAAATCCATATCTATTTACAATTTTTTTGTCGTAGTGTGAACTTATGACTAAACTTTAACGGGTTATCGAGATAAACCCGAGAATGAGATATGTATGATAATTTAAACAGAATAAAAACATTCGTGTTTAATTTCAGTAATATATTCCAAATGTATTATATTATATATAAATAAAGAATAAAAGAAAATATCAGCAAAATAATTCTAAAACATACGATATATATATGTCCAAATGTGAAAAATAAAATTTTTTTTATATAATTTGCTTTATTTTGAATACAATTTTTAATTATGTTTGTATTCGACTTTTAATGTTCGAGCTGTGTTCTTTTCCCGAAGGTAGTGGTTTATTTAACGATCTTTTCACGTAGGCAGTGTATTTTTAGCTTACTTTTCCCAAAGGTAGTGTATTTTTAGTGTTTTTTTAGTGTCCGTCGAACAAAACGATTTGGAAACATAGAACCATGTTATGTAGACAGACAGATGTCGAATGAAACAGCGGTTGTACAGTATTTCTGATCATGTCAATAAAGCATGTTATGCAGAGAGTTAAATCACATCTGTTAATGTCATAGTCTTCTATAATAGACACAAATTCTAAAAAGCACTGTTTTTAGGAACGAAAAACCTCGTCATCTACGAAGCTTAAGCGAAAAGTGATATATTATGATCTTTACACAGATTTTCATGGAATAGCTTTGTGTAGAGTCTGGTGAGAACAACAGTGCCGCGCATATAAACAATACAAAAATTTAATTTAGACCAAAACAGCTGATTCACACATCAACACAAGTTTAAGCTGAAATAAAATGTACGAGTAAAGTCTATGTTGTTAAAGGGAGCGCTCCCTCAGATGCTCTTATATACTTGTGTATATACAGTGTTGCTCATAGTTACAACGAGTACCTCGTGAAACAGACATTGCATGTAATATGCAGCGAGTTAACTTGCAGGGATTTGAACAATATAATATTTTTCGTTTTGATCATAGATTCGTTTTCAAAATTGTATATATCTTTCACATCGATCATTACGCATTCGGTGTTTTTTACATATGTATGAAAATTATAACTATATTCATGCATAAATCAAATTTATAAAATTTGCTTAGATGGCGAGTATCTCATCTACTATACTCACTTAGCGCCAAAACTTCCATGGTGTTTTGACAGTTATTAGTTTTTCTACAAGTGTTTTAAGGGATATGGAGGACATAGGGCGATTAAAAATACGCAGTATTAGTGAACTAATAGAAGTAAAAGTAATTAAACAAACAAAAGCAGATAAATCAGCAAAAGCTACTAGAAAAAAATCAACGAAAAATGATCAAAATAATTTTCAAGTCTCTTTGGATGTTGGTAATGGGAATATCATAAATATCAATACACCATTAACAAATGACAAAAAGATAGATAGTGAAGGAACAATAACAAAGAAGCCCAGAACAAAGAAAAAGGAATTACCCCCTAGTCAAACACGGATTAATAGTTACTTTAAAAGTAGTACCAAAAACTTTGTCGTAAATCATGATTTAGTGCCGACAACATTTGAAAAAGAAAACAAACAAGTAACAAGTGTAAGGAAAAATCCCAAAAGAGAGTGCAATGTCAAAAGGAAAGGTCGTAAGCGTTTATTTGTTGATGACACTGAGTCGGATGCAACAACAACAAGTGCAGTTGTTGTTAATGCTAATAAACCCAAACGGAAAACACCAGTCAAATTGAAAGCTAAAATTGCAGATAACGCCGCAACTACAACGGCCAAAAAGGCTCCAGTGAGAAGCACACGTAAGAAAAGTGCAACCAAGGGAAAAGAAACATCAGTGAATGTAGTGGATTGTATTGATCTATGCACAGATGAAGAATCTAATCAGCCACTATTGCCACTAAGAAGTATTAAAAGCGAGCCATCGCTACAAATCAGTGCTAATAACACATCTATTAATCAAAACAATGAAACTCTGGAAACGAAACTAACTACGGAAATAAAAATAACTACACAGGAAAAAACATCAAATTTAAACCCAAGAGAACCTATGGTTTCAATTGAAGTATATCCTGATAACTACAATATGCTAAACGGTAAGGAAGCTTCCGACGCAAATGTTTTGGCAGAAGAGCAAAGCAATGGCAAACAGACGCGTAAAAGAAAGCCGCGTGTTATTCCAAATTATAAAACCATTGAACATACCACATTCGCAGTAGATGCTTTTCAATTTGGTAAAATTCCGGGGGTTACGCATTATTTCTTAACGCACTTCCATGCCGATCATTATGTGGGTTTAACAAAAAAATTTGCGATGCCTTTGTATGTGACGCCTATAACACGTTAGTATATAGATAATGTGATTTATTATAACGTAAAAGTAATTTTTTTAATTTATTTAATTTTTTATAGGTCGTTTAGTTCAAAAGTTTATAGGCACTGATGAAAAATATCTTCATGAGCTTGAATTAGGGGTACCGCAAACTATTAATGATGTTGAGGTAACCGCTATCAATGCAAATCAGTACGTATTATGTTTTAATTTATATATTTATAGATGATATGATATTCTTATTGCTTTAAATGATATTTCTCATATAATTTCTCATTATATGTATTTTATTTTCGTTTTATTTTTATTATTTTTGTCATAAACTGGTAACACTTCATGCTGAATTATAATCAGGATTATACATCTCAGTTGTTTTTAAAGTAGGTGAGTTCAGTGGTTCGAGAATGTTCAGTTAAATTTATTTACACTAAAAAAGCTGAAGTTCCAGTAACAAAAAAGAGCCCAGCTCAGAACGGATTCGCAACTCTGGTTATAAATAATCCGTTACTCTCAATGTTCCCAATAAATCAACATCGTCACTATCGGTACCGATAGTTTCTCATTAAAGCACCTCCCTTTGTCTCTAATTAAACTTGTTTTAAGATAATTTGCGATCTTGGTATATTATAATATAAACTTACAATCTTGCTAAACTGACCCTTCTACAGTCGCGGCCAAAAAATAGAAAACAATTACAAATTCACTTGTTATCCTTTTTAGAAAAGAAAATATCAGTTGGGTAGGAAACAATATTGTAATTAACAACTAATTTTGAAACATAAATTTGTCCAGTTTAAGAAGTAGTATTCTACTTACCAAAGTTTGTGTATAGAAGATTCTTCAATCCTATCTAGCATGAAGTCCAGACTTGACAGTGATTAATTACGACAAGTGCATCTAGTTGACACTATGGGCCATTATAATTACACAGGAGAGGAGTTTAGTGATGATAAGTCATATCATAATATCAATAATTGAATAAGAAAAATGTTAAGTTAAGTTAAGGGAAAGGTTTTTCAATCAAAATTCAACGTTTTTTTATTTACAAAATATATTTACTTTTAGTTGTCCTGGTGCTATGATGTTGGTTTTCAAATTAACTGATGGAAAATGCATTTTGCACACAGGAGACTTCCGTGCTTGTGCAGAAATGGAATCGGAACCCATATATTGGAATAATGATATCGATACAATATATTTGGATACAACTTATTTGAATACAGACTATGCACTTTGTCCACAACATGAAAGTATTTATAAAACTATTTCACTCATAGAGGAGTTCCAACAAAGAAATATGGACAAACGCATCTTATATGTGGTTGGCACTTATGTGATTGGTAAAGAAAAATTCTGGTGTGCAGTAGCAAACCACTTTGATTTAAAAGTTTGGGCTGACCCTAATCGAAGAAAAGCATTAGACGCTATGCAAATACAAAAATTTACTTCTCGTTTATGTGATAATCCTTGTGACGCTGATATGCATGTTATTCCACTGGGTCAAACAGGATATTTAGTGAGTTTATCAAAGTTTTTCTTGTGATCAATTTAATTTTAATTTTTCGTTATTTTATTTACAGAAACTTTATGAATACTTTCGTCAGTATAATGATAAATATGATATATTGCTTGGCTTACGTCCTAGTGGTTGGGAAATAAGTAAAAAGCCACAATATGGGAAATTAATTAACATATTTGCAATTGAGTATTCGGAACATTCAAGTTATTTTGAATTGGAACGGTTTGTCAAATTTTTAAAACCCAAAAAAGTTATAAGCACTGTACCTACTGGTCATGGTAACAGCGCAACACCGAATGTACCAGAGAAATGGTACAAATACAAAGAAACGTATGGCAGTATGCAGCGAAAATTTCAAACTTCTATAACAACCTTTTTAAAACCGAAAATAATTGATGGGAAAAATAAAAGTTTTAGTAACAAAGATTCTTCAAATATGGTTGTATCACCAAATCATTCTAAAAACAGTAGTAAATCTGGGCCAAAAGAACAAGATGTGGAAAATATAAGAAACAGAAGTAAATTAGTGCAGAATGAAATTTTGAACTTCACTGAACCTATAACTATACCTAATACAGATGAAATTAAAATTGCTGACATAATTACACTATCCTCGGATACAAGTAGTTCTGAAGAAGAATTAAAAAACTGTGTTAAAATGATGCACTCAGCTACAGATAAGCGACTTTCAACTCCTCCCCCTTCGATTTCAACATTGGTTTGGCTATCAAATTTAAATACCGAAACAGATGATGATTTTCTGATATAGCATAGAAAGAATGGAATAATTTTAATTAAAATTATTGATTAGCTTTAATAAATATTGTGTATATTTCATTTAGCGATGTTTAAGTAATTAATATATTTTTAACAAGAAAATGTTTTCAAAATATATATTTTTTTAAATTTTAGTATAGTATTTGTATATATAATTTGTAAGCTAAAAATAAATATAATAAGTTGTTATTTTTTAAAAACTTTATCGTAGCATCGTAGGCTAGAGGTTTTGTATGCAATGTTAAAACTGTAATATATACACACTTTTTAAAAATATATTTTTAACCAATTTGTAAAAGTTTTGGTATAGTTTTATTTCCTTCTATACCGTGTTATGCAATAACCGAATTCCTGATTATATAAACAACATTTATAATAAATGCCTATATCTATTAATTTAGCGTTTTGGTTTATAAGTTTAAAAATATTTTATTTCAATACTTTTTATATTGGTTTTTACATTTTTATTTGGTTTATATTTATTTTTTTTTTTGGTAAAGAGACTTACTAGAATAATAAAGCTATTGTGGTGTCATCAACCACAATTTGCTGACTGCTGAAGTAGCTTATATATTCTAGACTAATTTATCAAAGGAAATTTGGTTTAATTTTAAAATACTTATCAGAATTTTTGGAATTCTCATAAAAACGTTATATATATATGTATCCTTTTACTCCTAGGAGGAGCATAGGGCTGTAACAAATAACTTCCATTCGGTACGATCGGTGGCCAATAGCTTCAACACTCCCCAGCCTTTCCGCATGTGTGACATTTCCGTGTCGGTTTGTCTTCTCCAGGTGAGAGCAGGTCTGCCCCTTTTTCTGCTACCCATCGAGTTCCACTCAATCGCCATTCTTTTGGCGTCACCAATCGGTCTACGCAAAGTGTGACCGATCCATTCCCATTTACGCTTTTTAATTTCGTTTCTCATAGGTGTTTGCTGAGTTAGAGACCATAGACGATCGTTTGAAATTGTATTTGCCCAAAAAACTTTAACAATTTTGCGTAATGACTGATTTGCAAAAACTTGTAGTGCATTGATGCTGTTTTCCATAGTATTCCAGGATTGGCATCCATATAGGTAGAAGGCAAGATTTTATGTTGGAGTTAAATATTCGTATTTTAGTCGAACGAGATAGCTGAGATGATCTCCAGACTTTATTTAAGCGACCAAACGCTTGTTTTGCCTTCTTGATACGGTTCTAAATGCCCGCACTGAATCCACCATTTTTTGATATGATGCTTCCAAGATAGCAAAAGACTCTACATCCTCAAGACAGCAGTTGTTTATAATAAAAGGATCTTGGACGCTAGCATTAATGCGCATAACTTTTGTTTTGGTAACATTGATTTTAAGTCCCGCTCTGTTTGCCGTAGTTATCAAACGATTAAGGTTGCGAGACATATCATTATAACTGTGTACCATCAGACATAAGTCATCGGCGTAATCGAGATCACACAAGCTTTCGAAATGACGGTGTGACATAGTGTATCAAAAGCTTTTTCGAAGTTTATAAATAATAAATATAAAGTTCATCTGCATTTAACAGACTGCTGATTACTCTTAGGCGGTTTATGTGATCAATACAAGACTTGTGTGGGCGGAATCCAGCTTGTTCTCTGCGCAACGTTGCTATTAATGCTGTTGAAAGTCTGTTGGTCATGACATGTGCTATTATTTTATTAATCATGTTCAACAGAGTAATGCCTCGCAAATTAGTTCTTTCTGTGAGATCGCCCTTTTTTGGAAGCTTTATGATAATACCCTCTGTGACTTTGGATGAAAAGTTCTCTGACTGCTAAAAACGTTCTATTAACGGGTGGATGATCTGTGCGCTTGTATGTGGGTTAGTTTTCAGTAGTTCCGGTGCTGAACCGTCGGGTCCTGATGCTTTGCTGTTCTTTAGTGTTTCTATTGCACTTATGATCTCTGCAATATCGGGGCTGGAGGTGGAAATGTTGCTATTTTCAGAATGATTATCGCAGTCGCAGTTCAATTGAGCCTCGGAACGTTCATTTGTTAACATATTACTGTAAAATTTGGTGTTATTTTCAGTAAGCTTTCTAGTAGCTTTGTACATATCACCACTTCTATGTAGTTCAGCTGCGGTTTGAGCTTCATTGGCTACATTACTGCCCCGTTACTATATATTATTTATATATAATATATATAAAAATATATATATATTATATATACAAATAAAAATAACATTATATTATAAAAACGTTACGATAACCTTTACAAGTTCTTATGAACGAAATGATTGATAAACCTGTTAACAATAAAGCGACACTAAAACTACGACATTGTATCATCATTATAAAACTATTATTAACAGAACGACTAGGCATCATTTCGCTTTATACCGAAGCATCGTCATTTCCGAGGAGACGTGAGCTTTGCAACAAAGTTATTTTCAGCAGGCCTTTGTCCGACATTTATAGGTGTGTAAACTATATGCTGAAAAATACAAACAGTGATAAGTAGTTACTTGTCGGTTAAACTCATTTCATTCTAAGATATTTTTGGGTTAACTTTTTATTGCTACACTGGATGCATGTTCCTCATTTAAATGAGCGTAGATAAGGGAGTAGAGACACAGTATGAGATAATACCATCTTAAATGTCTGACAAAGAGTTTATTGTAATATTAAAAAAAAGCTTCTAGAGACATTGAGTGTACTAAGTGGGTGGTAAAGTTATTACCTTAACATAAAAAAAGAGTCCTTGATCAAATGGATCTCATCTAAAAAAAAAAGATTATTTATTTATTCCTAAAAGCAAAAAAACTTTTAGAAATAAATGGAGAACATTTTCACTATTAAAATTTATTCCAGTAATTAGAAAAGGGTGTTAAGATAAAGAGTCGAAAGATAAAGATACTTAGTGCGTTTGGTTGTTTGGTGGTTGGTGTGGATTGTGGATTCTGTGACCAGGGTCACGAGAACTAAGGTTGTAGATAGAAGTATCTGAGTGCTTCCCGTATAAAGCATTTAGAGCAAAGAATCTTAAGTTTACAGTTAAGCTGGCGGTGCCTTTTAATGGTATTTTTTTTATTTTTAATGGTAATTTACATGCTGAATAAAGTTGTGCCTAGGGGATAGCGTTAAGATACTTAAGCTTGTTAACAAGCTAAATTCAGGTATTGTCGAACTACACTTTAATAAGTAGGGTTACGAAATTTCTAGAGGGATATCTACTGTAAATAAATTAAAATGAAGTGAGAACAAACTCATCGTCAATATGTACAAATATTATGTTTATTTTCAATGGGTTTTATTTGAATTTTTTTATTTAATTTTTAATTTTCAATTTTTTTTTATATAATGTTATTACCTATTAACTGAATATAATAAATTACATTATAATTTTTTTAAGCCAAGTAGCCTGTTTAAATGTTTATGTTTAGTTTTTAAAATACATGTTATTACTACTTTTAATCTGGGTGTAGATCCCTTCTTGTTCAAATAATTAAACGTTTAATATTTTTTATTATACTCTATATATTTGACTCTCCTTAAGAGTCATCATCACGATTACAATACGTCCTACTCTTTGTTCTATCGTCAGTACAATATTTATGATGGATAAATTGGAATTTTTTTTTGTTCATAATAATGTGTATAAAAAATTTATATTATTGTTAAAATTAATTTAATAAAATAATAATATAGTTACATATGTACTTGTATATAGAAGTTTTTAAATTTTGACACTTGCCCCTTGCATATTTCAGTTGTAATACATGGTGTTTGTTACTTTTATAAAATTATAACAGTTCCGAGTTAAAATAAATAACTGTAATAAATGCTACTCTGTAACAAGTATATTTACTACAATACTTTTTATAACAGCGGCCAACTAATGACTCTGTTGCCATCCCTGTTATGTTTACAAAATTTTTCTCTTGTTATTTTACATTTTGAGAGCATTTCAATAAACATATTTTGGTTTCTGCTCAGACCGGATTCATTCTGTTTGTTGCTCTTATTGGCGTTGGACGTTGTACGCGACGGTGGCGCGCATATCATGTATAACAGAACAAAGTTGGAGGATTAAGTCATACAATATTATTATTAAAAATATGTATAAGGATGATTTAATTAACAACTTATGAAAAATCTAATTAGTAGATTGTTAATCATTTAAAATGTGTATATGACAAAAAAGTTACATAAATAATTAAAATAACAAAAAATTCTTAATTTGAAAAAATACTGAAAATAAAAATGTAAAACCATTTCTTGTGTTGGTGTTTACAGTTTAAAGTGACGGCAAACTTGGAGAATATTTAACATAAATAAAAAAAATAAGCAATTTACGTTGCTACCAAATACAAACCAGCCAAAAGAATTGTGGCAAGAGCAATTTTTTTTATAATTTTTAAAGTATATTTCCACATTAAATGTTGCTTAATACTTGTTTTTCATATATATAATTTTCTATTTAATTTTTTATTAAAAAGTGTTACAACTCAGAAATAGCTCTTGTAACTTGCGGCAACAATTAAAAAAAGGTCTTGAGATCTTGTTTTCTGTGTGTGTGTGTGTGTATTAGATTTTAGCCGCTACTAAATCCAGTTAACATTTTGGTGTTTATTTTTTTTCTTTGGTTGTTTTTGAATTTGTTGCTATTGGTTGCCATTTTACTAAGTTTGAATAGAAGTGTGGGCAATGAAGTGAGGAGCAGTGCGGTTTGAAAACGATTACAATATTTGGATTTTTAAACGGCAATTTTATTTATTAAAGGTAAGTGAAAATATTGAAATAGTTTTTCTTATTTTAGCAATTGCATGCTTTTTTCCTTTTTTCTTTTGCCTATGTGGGCTGCACTCGTATTTGTTGTTATAACTGCAAGCTGCAGTTATTTCTGGAGTTAAGAAGAAAAAAAAAACAAACAACGAATAAAGAATTATTAAAAAACAAAATTGAAAACAACTTCATAAAGCAGAAAAGTATGAAATAATTTGTAATAAAATGTGCATGTGAACGAATTAATGGAGGCGGAATAGGGTGGCTTAACATAATAAACCTAATACTTTTGAATATCCATGATTCAAACTGCTGTGACCGTTACGTATTGCTTAGCAGAGAAAATTTTCTATTTCCCATTATCTTTTTTTTTTAACATTGAAAATATTTGTAAAAAGGTTTTTTACAGAATTTTTTTGTAAAATTGATCTCTTCTATCGTTTTTTAGTGCTGTTAGTTGGCATTTTTGTGAAATCATTCTTCCGATTTTTAATTGATATAATTAATTCAAATATACTTTTGAACTTCGTTGATGTGTAGTTTATTTCGTACAAATATAATAAGTAAGGGATGTTTGAATGAATGACATAAGTTTTAAATAGGCACATTTTTAAAGTCTGGTTCAATTACTTTAATAAATAATGATTTTTTTTTGATGAAAAAAATATATAAATAAAAAAAGAAATATAAGAATGACATTAGTTTTAAATGAAATAGTTTTATATAGGGACTTTTTAATGTCTGGGTCGATTACTTTCATAATGATGCTAAGGATTTTTTTTTTGATAAAAAGGTATACATTTCCTTAAAGAATTATATAAATAAATAAATGAAAAGAAATATAAGAATAACATTAATTTTAAATGAAATAGTTTTAAATAGGAACATTTTTTATGTCTGGATCAATTACACTAATAAATGATGCTTTTTTTTTATAAAAAAAAAAATATATATATTTTTTCATTTTTAATATGTTAAATGTTTTTCTCTATTTCTTATATTCTGCTATTATAGTCCTCCAAATACTAAATATTCCAAATACTGCTTTCTATATTAACATTACCCGCTTTACCAAAACATACAGTAGCTGTCAGCTAACATTCTTAAAAGTGGCGTATGCAATTGCAACAGGTAGATTTCTTAGAATGCCAGTAAAGCCCTTTATAAGACAAACTACCACAAGCAATTATTTATGGTATGGATTCCTGTTAAGTTCTTCTAAAAATAAAATTAGAATAATAATTAATTATTCTAATTTTATAAGTAATAAATATTTCCAATAATATATAATGGGTTTGAGTTGAACCCAATTAGATGTTACAAATGTATGAATCTGAAGTTTAGAGATATCAGTATTCAAAGAGTGTGAATTAAAAAAAGTTGATATATTACAAGATTTAGTTAGACATACATTACATTTATTTAGCATACATCTATTTTTTCGTGTGTATTTACTATGAATTCTTAAGTTCACCACACGCTTCAGTTTTCAATCTATTGAATTTGTAAAATCATGACCAATGGGTGTGAAGTAATATTTCGATATAATTATTGCACTAATTATATATGTATATTTTGAAAAAATATAAAACTGAAAAATTGTATGAAATTTGAAAGACCTTTTTGATTTTTTTTTGTACAAAAAAAAATTTTCCTACTAATAAAAAAATTCCTAACAAATTTTCAAAAATTTTAACTCCACAAAGCTATTGTGTTAAGGTCCTCATTTATTCTGAGCTACTCCATCTTAGCTATGTTCAAATCATGTTGAGCCAACTTTTATGTGGTCTTATATATATATATAATAGTGATTCAAAAAGAGACAAATTTTAACTAATTTTATTGGTATACGATGATTTTTAGGTTATCATTCTGATTCTTTAGATCCACTTAGGTCTGATGGCCTTTTATAATTCCGTCCATAATTTTCCAAGGACTTAAAACCATTTTGAACCATTATGAACCAAAAGATATTGTTCAGATGGGCGCGTCCTCAAATTAGTTGAGATCATTTAAAAAATTAGTCCTTAAGACGTTTAGCCACAATGCGTTACAATTACTTTTTTCTTCTAGAAAAGATAAATTGATTGCTCTGTAAAAATTTTTTGGTTTTTATTATTTACAATGAATTTTTCTTTTAATGAAACTTTTTTGCTTTCCCACGTGTAAACTTAAAATAAACTGATTATATTAAAATAAATTTCATTCAATTTTACTTCTTCAAAATCAAAAGCTTTCATCTAACGTGCAAGGCTAAAATTAATGTTAATTTGTGATAAAAGTTCTTAAGTTGCTCATATGTCGTTTCTATTCTTTTTCTTCTTCTTCTTCATTTTACTAATCAGAATTGCATGCATACCGGAAAAAACACGTTAAAGTTCAGTAACTTGTTTTTATTATTTTTACCAATTTTCTATCGCACTGATTTTCTACATACGAGTATGGCATACATGCTACTACTTACTATTTACACGTTTTGCTAGGCCCCCTTTTCCAACATATTTTAGCATTTCTCTATTGTGCATTATTTTATTTATAATTTTTTTCTCTAAATGTGCTTTTCTTGGACGAACCTGCATGCAAGTTTACATTCCTCTTATGTTGCTTACACAGTTAGTGCCACTTATGCCTGATGTGGTTCTTGCTGGCTTTGTCTAGCAACAGAGCTGATGATGATGATGAGATGTCATTATAATTATCATTATCACAATCATCATTTTTTTTTTGGTCTATTATCTTAATAATCATTTGTTAACGTCAACATTGTTTACATATTTTAACTCTCTATTTTGTTTTTGTTATTCGTTTGGTTTTTTTTTAATTTCTGTATATTTTTTTGTTGTAGAAAATACTATAAATTATGTACGAAAATGATCAATTAAAGTCGTTATGTACTAAATTATTTTATATAGATATAAGTCCAATAATTCACTTGGAATGGATAGTTTACAATTTCGCACGACCCACTTACATGAATATTTTATAAGCATAAACACTCTTCTATTATATCCTAGATGAGACGAATAAAAGTGCCATTATGTTTGAATATATCTGTAGAAAACCTTTATGTTTACACTTTTTATATTAATAACTACTTCGGATGTATTTAATTATCAAAACTAAATAATTGGAAATAAAATTCATTTTAAATTTGTGATAATAAATATTGTGAGTACAAAGTAATAATAATTATAAAGAAATTATCTTAGATTTAAAGAAGAAGCTCTAATAGAATTTAACATTAGCATGAAAAATTTTTGTTTCTCTTATTATATTTCGGATAATATAATATATATTATGGGATCACATATCATGCTTTCTGACTGATTTCAATTATTTGCTACTCTTCTCGAGTATGTTTCAGTATCACGAGTTTGTTACCGTTACTCCTCAAATACCGTCATCCATAGCACCCTTTCAACGTTTTCAATTTCAATTTGCTTTATTGAGAAAGTAATTATATTTGTAGACTATCATGAATGATGTAGAACCTACCACTGATTTGCAATTATTTTTTATTTCCTAACAAATTTAAACACAATTGGGAGTTTGTTACTGTCAGTGCTAATTAATTGTTTCACAATGTATGTATACTCCGACTCCGTTATTTGTTCTCAGTTTAGTGGTTTTGAGTTTGTATTAATAATGTGTCAATAGTAATTATTATTAATATAATATTAATCGCAGTTACTTAAGCCAATTCTTAGGGTTTTAATAAAAGTTAGTATCGTGCAAGGGGTTCTTTTTTGTTACATATGTTTTGAATGACAAGTCTGTTCCTGACATTTATTAAACCTGGTGCTGCTCACTTTTAGGTATTCAAGGATAAATTATTCATATATGTTTAAACAATTATTTTACAGAAGCTCCAGATCACTTATCTCTTATTAAAAGCTTAATATTATACTTATTTATAACATTTTTTCAACTCATATACTTTCTTCAGATATCTGCAGACCATATTTAAGCAAAAAATTCATATATCATTCCTTGGATTTTTCTTCTCTCAAATACTATTACAACAATTTTAGCTTCTACGTTTGTCAGTGCTATGTTACAAGAACATGTAGGATGAAGAGTGAAATCAAAGACTTGTACTATTTAGTTATTTTTATTTTTCTTAGATAGTATTGACGCCTATATCCAAAAATATTTCAAATCATGCTTCTATTGTCAACCTGACTTCTGATTATAATTTATAAAGTTGTATAATTTTATTAAATGGTTTGCTAGGTAACTGAGGTCGGTAGCAGCTTCAAATTTCAAACTACTGTTGTAAACAATACTGGGTTCTATTATTTTTAAAGATGGCTAAATATATGTATATTTCATTGTACTCATATTTATAGCTCTAGAGTATATATATTGTACTCTAGAAAGAAATTATTTATTTCGTTTGCCTAAGTAAATATATGCATTTGGTTAACACATATATCCACATTTAAACTTTTTTGATTATGCCTTTAAGATAAATGTTGTATACTCGGACAAAGCGGATATCACCAGTTAAAAACAGAAGGCAGGACTTTTCGTGCTATTTGTAATAATCTATTAAACATTAATTTACGATTATTATTATAGATCTTGTAATATCATATATTGATATATAGAATCCGTTATGCTACTCTAAAAGAGATATTTTAGTAGGACGAGAGTCAAAAACTAAATGTCGCGAATTGTTGACGTAAAAGGGGTAAGACTGAATGTTTTGAGCATGCTTTTAAAATTCACAATTTTCATCAAGTACTTTGGTAGAATTTGATTTTTGGTACTACTGTAGTTAAACGTATATTTAATTTAAAAGTTGTTTTATTATAAATGTACCTCGACGACAACAACTAATTTTAAACTAAAAAGAGATACATTTTATTTCTTAACTTTCATTTTTAAATTAATTAAAAAACAAATTAAATTAATTTTAATTTTAACTTTTAAATAATAAAAAGTGTATATAATTTTGTCATTACTTTTACCTTTCTTTTAAGTTATAGAAATAA